TGGAACTGAAGACAGGCAGAAATGGATCTCAGTTTTTTGAGAATCACCAGATTAGGGACAGAAATGGTAAAATCCTTGGCAGCTATTAAGTGAAACTGGTGATGTGGTAGTAGACATGAAGCCAGCTAGAACATCCATTTCACTCAAGAGCTGCAGCATCTTGGGAACTTCTAGTTTGCCAGCAATTTCAGTGCCTCCTGGTCTATGAAATAAAACATAAGCAAACAAATTCCAAGCTTCAAGAAACTTCATTCTTAAGCCAGCTCTAGTCATTAGGAATACTGATAACATTAAAATCAGAAAACACGAGATGTATCTAAACAGTTTAAATGAAATGTGGTTGAAAGAATTAACATATCAACCAAACAAAATCCATTTTCTGAATGGCTGAGTTACTTGATTTCATAATAAACATTTCAAAGCATCCCAAAAAAATCAAATACCATCACAAAAACTACCTGTAAGAATTTTTGCAGTGTTTGTAATATGAATAATCTGGGAAAAAATAAATGTGTAGAAAGGAAGAGGAACTCTCTGAAATGTCCCTGACAAACATTATTTTTCCTGTTTCAGTTTTACAGTAGATTTCAATTAACTCCACTAGATTTTGAATAGGCTGTGCAAACAATGAGAGAAAATTCAATCTGCACATACAAAGTGCAGACACTCCAGAGTGTGTTACCATCACTCAAGCAGAAGAATTCTCGCGTGAATTTAAACCTTGAAGTCTGAATCTCAGATCTGCATCTCACCTCACTGAAAATGTGACCCTCTACATTCACTGCACTTTGGGACGTGAGCAGTAGATCAAAAAATATGTTTTTTTTTAATCACAGTTCACCACAGTTTAAAGGTTTTCACAATAAATTTAGCTTCACGTGAAAAAAGGTTTTAGTTTACTTTGTTCAAAAAGCAAAAGAAATCACAATTTTACCCATTCCTAACAGGTTTGAATTTGAATAAATGGGACTAGTAACTACAGCATGGCAACGACATCAGTTTCCCAAAAGGGAAGACTGAGCTCAGGGAACAATTCAGATACATGAGAGACAGGAACATGAGCTCTGGGCATTCTGTTTCCTATGGCACTGTGCTGTAGCCAAGGGCCTAGGAACAGGGAGGCAGCTCAGTGTGGCAAACTCTTAACGCCAGCTGGCTTTCCTACGTGTAAAATCAACAGTTTCCATGTACCTACATATGCTTTGCTGATAATAAGAGGGACACACCTGAGCACTTTTCCACTGTAACGTCACCCAGGAAAGCTCTGCCTGGACAACCTCCAAAAATAAAAGAGTGAATGTAAGTTTGAAACAGTTATTCCTCACAAGCTTTCACAGCAGCTGATCAGTGAGAATATATGAATATGAATCTAATTTCACATTGGATCATTCAGTGGAGTACAGGAATGCTTGCACATGGAGCACATCCACATGTAAGACCTACATACTAAGCCCAGTTCTTTATAACACTCCTGTGACAGCATTAAATTAGTAAGTGGCTGGTGCAAGGGCATTTAAGTTTAAACATCCACTGTTTCCTGGCAGGTTCCAGCCTAAAGGATTGAGCACACTAAGTTACACGGCAACTGATCTGATCACCACTGACATCCTGCCTGCTTGGGGCTGTGACATTGCAGGGCAGGCAGCCTCTCCAGGGAGAAGGCCAGAGAGGGCCCAGTGGACAAAGAAAACATCCAGTCCTGAAAGCTCTCTTCTGTTAAATTCAACAGCAGTTAAATTCATTCACAGTGATGCCTCTCAGCATGTTCCACAGAGAAATGACAGCTTAAGAAAAGCTGTTATTAATAAAATAATGCCAGTTTCCCTTAAAATTATTTTTCTTTTTCTCCTCTTTCTTTTCCATAGATCTTGGGAAAATCTCCAAATGGTCTCGATCACACACACCATCATTAAAAAAGTGTCTAAACACACACTCCCAGCGTACGTATACAATTCATCTATTTATAAATTACGTACATCTACTGCTGAAGGTCTAATATTTTCTTTTCACATCCCAATGGATATCACCGCACAGCCCCTGTGACGCATGCACCCCACTTTGGAGGCCACCACCACAGGCAAAGTGCAGTTCCAGGTGCACTACAGTGAACCCCTGAAGTTTTCTATGTACGAAGGAAAGTCAGCAGAGGCAGAGTGTACCAGCCCAAACAGCCTGCGGTTCTTGCTCTCTGCACACTTGCTCTTAACAGACACCATCGTAAAACCCACAGACTAGTACAAAACATACATCTGTACGTATCAACTCACTTTGATTGTGACTTAGGTAACGCCTGTCATTAAAAAAGTTCAGTAATAATTCTACAGTGAACTCCCTCAGCCTAATAATTAAAACAGAGTAATAGCCTAATAATTAGAGTAATGGTGAAGACAAAATTAATTTTATATTATCTCTCTCCTCGTTTTGTCTTTAACTGAATGCAAGCAAAATTCCCAAAGGAACAAAACTATTTATTTGGAACAGGGGAAAAGAAAAGGGTACTAAAACCAAAGCATGGTAAACGCAGTCGAAGTGAGAATGTTGCATTTAACAGTATTTGTGGCTGCTGTACTCGTTAATCCACCTCCTCACGTAATCATTCAAGCTATTGTAGTTTTGGTACTGGACATGAAGCTGGCTATGTGAAAAAGAGATTTTGTGTGATTAAGCTGTCATCAGGATTTCACTGGAAAACAAAAGGGAGGGTCATAAAGTACTTAGCTATCCTAGAAAACCCCAAAATGTTCAATGGTCAGGGACACAGAAGATGTTTATTGATATAATAAAAAAGAAACTTTTCTGTTTCTTGAAGTTAAAACACAAAAAGATGATAAAATATCTTTAACAGAGCTTTTTCTTACCTAATAATGACACACTGATTTTCTCTGTCAATAATCATGTTTCTGTACATGCTGTCTGCAAGAGCATAAATATGTGGTGGGTTTTCATATTGTGCCTAGGAGGAGAAATTTTTTCAACACAGCGTTAAACAAGGTAGAAAGAGCAACATCATTTTTTATTTCGACTGGGAGAATTATTTTCCTGGAAAACAAATTCTGAATCCCACTTTATATTGAATTTTCCCCAGAAGTTTTGTTTGTTTGTTTAATAAAAGCAAATCAAAGCCTCTGGGTTTTGTTACTGAGCTTTTTCTCATCCATAATTTTCTCCCAAACGATTGTAAACACCCTGTTCTAAAAATGGTCTGTGCCTGAAATATATTACTTGTCCAGGAGAAACTCACAAAACTTAAGCCTATTCTACCCGTGGTCATACGCTAACAATAAATACCTGAACTGCTACACAGCCCCTGATGCTGTATGTCTGATTTTCATCCAGAGTCCGTTCAAACCAAAAGGTTTCCCGCATCTATGGATAAGCCCAACTTGAGCAGAGCAGGGAAACTGAATTTTAAGTCCTTAATATCCTTGTGCTGACCCACTCTTCAAGCTGTATTTTTCAAAAGTGGCATCTAACTTTGGCATCTCAGTGTTTTTATTGTTCTTGACCAGTTTGAGAGTTCTCAAAGTCACTAGTGGCCATTTTGTATTGTGCACCACACTTTCAGCATACAATAGTTTAAACCTGCTTTGCAGGAGCAGGGAGATGTCAAGGAGAAACCTGATACAGATTAGTGTTAATCAGTACAAGTATTTTCTTGAAATACTCATCCTATGTTCGAGGGAATTCAGTTTGAACACTCAATGTATAGTAACAGCTATCAGCCAAGTTCTCCCAAGATAGTACAACGCTACCAAACCCCAGAAACAAATGCTTCCGAGAGTTTAACTGCGTAAAATAATATCTATGCCCCTGAATACTGCAGTACGTTTTAGACTGCTCTACTTACAGCTCCTTGGTACATTTCAATTTCCTTTTCTCCAAAATACGGCATTTGCTTGAAGGGATTCACAGAGATTAATACAGAGCCAATATATGTCTGTATTCAAAAGAAGTTAAGGTAACTGCAATTCCATAAAGCATTACCTTACCACTAGTGACTGCTGGCTAACTTTTCCATCTATTACCTTATGGAGCATAGCTTCAAGTAATAGTAAAAAAGCCACAGCTTACAAGAATTGTTAATAAAAGTGAAATTAGCACGCTTACAAGAACATAAACATATCATTCGACGAGATACATTCATATTATCAAAATATTTATTTTAGGACAAGCTATGTATGAGAAACCCAAACATAACGCCCCTTGAATAAAAATAAAGGAAATGGCATATTTAAACTGTTTTACTCTTTTGTAACTGAGGAGGTCGTATTGTCAGTATTAAGAAGATTGTTTTGACCTTTGCAGAATAAGCTACAGTGACACATTCTGACCTCACAGAGATAGTGCTGAGCATGCACAGACCCATGGAAACAGCCACTACTGAGCTCAACCGGACAATTACTCAGCTGCATGGACTAGCGGGGGAGCTAAGGTAATTAGTAATTCAGTATGTGGTGTTATTTTATGCATGTAACTATTAACAGTCCCTAGGAGCCTCATCCTGCAGGCTGCCCTACAAGAAGACACTCAGTTTCAAGCTATTATTAGTCCCAGAAAGCTTTTTTGCAACATTTTGAATGTGTTTCCCTGTTCTGCATTCAGCTGCACATGTACCCACATTTACAAAACACTTCAGAAACCTTTGGAATTAGAATTGCAATACACACACGTGAAGGAACTGATACAACTTTACAGGCAGGACTGACTCACTGTGCTGGGAGTTAGCAGTGTTAATCCAAAACGTTGTACAGCAGGTTTCATTTAACTATCTAGAATTGTTCATAGGCAAGCTTACTATCTAAGCCTTCCACACAAAAGCAGGGAAATTAACAAATCTATCCTGCTGGCTTATGCTATGTAAGACCCTAGTACTGGGGTGCCACAGTACAAAATGGTAACATGTTACAGAAGAAGTATAACGTGGTGAACATAATTTCTGTATCGTTAATTTGCAGTGCTTTCTTCATACATTTTTAATTTAATTCAAAGAAGAGTGACAACATCTGGGTCTTAAATATAATAAATCAAGCAGTCATTGTGTTGGTATAAACATGCAAAGCGACAGTTTTCTGTTGGTAAACAATACCAGCATTTTCTGGGACGATTCGGTAATCTCTGTGCAACGTAGCACAGATAAATGTTCATTCATGGGTAGGCATACAAACGACTGAAAGATTCAAGAGATGATTTCCAATTTAGAATGAAAAGCACTTGCAGAACTGCAAAAGGAGTCTTTTCTCCCTCCACAAAAGAATTATAATGCTTTAAAAGAAGACTCTGATGCCTCATGTGACCACAAGTTCCCCTTGGAAAACACACTTATTCATGCTTCAGTAGGAATGTTAATCTAAGGAAAAAAGCATAAAACCATTTCTTCAGCACAGAGCACTGCAGACTTTGTGAATGTACTGCACGGAAGATGCAGCGTTCCACAGGGACAGCAGAGCTCGTGTTACTAACAGGAAGAGTGCTATAGTTTGCCCCAGTACTATAGTTTGACAAATATTGTGCAACTTTATCATGTTCCTATAAGCAAATTTAATAACGGTGTGGTACTTTTATGGAACAGAGGATCCAGACCCATGTGCACACCCATATTAAAAACCTCTGCAGTTTGGCATGGAAATGTCAACACAACTGCAACATTAATTTTCCTCTATTAGCCCTTGGCTAAGTTGAGCTGCTACTCAGCTCTTAACAACCTCTATCTATGGAAATAGCCAGGGGATGTTGTATTTCCCACCCTTTCTACTACAAAAAAAAGTTAAACTCTTCAAAGAAACTATTGTCCAGATGCACCTAGGCAGTAAGGAAACCTGGCTACAGCAGAAGAAGAAACAGCATCACTTTCTAGTCAATAATCATACAGACTAGTGTTAACAAACTCATCATTGCAGCTAATGTGACATTGTGAAAGCTAAAAATTAAATAGCGACTATTCTAATCTCAAGGAATTCCTTGCATATAAAATTGGGGGGGAAAAAGCAAACCTTTGGTGCTGAAATCCATTTTTCTTTAGGCTGTATGTCCAGGTATTGAAATCTTTGGTGTTTTCATTAATCATAGAAAAAAATGTTAAAGTGCGAACACTGTAGATTTACACATGTTCACGTGCTCACCTATTTTCATGAGCCCATGATTCACAGTATTAACTAGTCCAGAGTAAGTCACAAATGGGGTTAGGTCACAGAAGAAATGCTATTTTGAAAGCATTAGAATCTGGGAGGTATAGAAGAGAACATGGTACCAAGACTATATGCCTTAAACCTCTTAGATTCTTGCTCTTAAATTCTTGCTCTTAGAAGCATCATTACTGTAGTAGCTTCAGGGGTCATGCGGATATATAAATACATGGACTTACAGGGCTATCTTCAACGATGACAAGAACAATTCCAAATATCAAAAAGAATACCTTAAATCATTTTTCAGATCTTACTTTCAATCCTAATAATTAGCTCAGTTTACAAAGCATTTTGTGTAATCTCCAGTGAACTGTCACATAAAATGTTCAGCGTCTTTTGAGTAATCTTCTTAAACAGAATACATACATATATTTTGTTTCACATAAAAAAGGTCCACAGGGCCCCACTAAAAACAACAGTATAAAGGATACAAAAATATAATCATCCATGTAGCGTTTTTTCAGGTTCTCCACTATGGAATCCTCCGTGATTTTGGAAAGAAGGACCATATCATCCACGCCACTGTGCTTGACATTGTGGCTCTGCCAGTGATACCTGTAGTGTCCTTTGCTGCCCTGCAGGAAAGCACAAAAAGCACCAAAAAAGGTTACTATATTTCTCATTAACAGTAAATAACCGAACATTATCTATTCAAATTCCAAAATATTTTTCTTTCATTGAGTTTTATTCCGTGAACCAGGCATTATACAAAAGCATACACAAATGAGGTCAACAGCCTTGCCTCTGAACTATTACAGAATTGCGGTGCCCTCAAAAATTAGAAGGTAATTCCATGGGGTTTCGTGCATGCCTACACACAGAAGGGATTTCAGATGGCAGACACACTGCTACATCTAGCAGAAAAAAAACCCATTATTCCAACTGAAATGCGGTTATTGGAAGATAAGGATGCAAAAATTACACTCCTACAATGCAACCATTAGTAGTGAGGGTAATTACCACCTGAACTATTAAATTGGGCCCAGTAGATTCTCCATCCTTTACAGTTTTTTAAGTCAAACCTGCACAAATGCTGGAAGCCACGAGCCCGATGCAGTAAGCAGTCGTGTTCTGCAGATTACGTTGCGCAGTTTGTCGGCTGCATGGTTTCACAGCCCCTTCTGATGGGTTAGTCACCGTGCTTAACTGACAGCTAAATAGATATTCTCTCCCCACACTCAGAGACTGCTATTTCAGGATGCTACTGAAAACTTGTGACATTTCAAGCTGTAGCACTTGAAATAAAAATCTGCTTTTTTTCCAACTGACTTGAACAGTCGTTAGCTTCTATGGATACACCCACAAACAAATTTAAATGCAGTCTAGATCAATGCAATTAATTCAGCTATAAATCTGTTCTCCAAACCTAAGCCTATTTTCTGTAGCCTGGCAGAAAATGCTAATGCAGCTCTGCCCTCTTGCCTTTTTATACTTTAATTTTTGTCCATGCAATATTCAAATTAGTGATGCTGGAATTAACACGGTTTACACTGAGAAGTTATCAAGTATGCTGGCAAGGAAGATGTGGCCAACAAAATAGCAATTCTGCGTATTCCCCTCATTTTTTAATACCACAGTTTCAAATAATGAGATTTAGCTACACTACTCTCATGTATGTTATGGGATCAAGTCATATTCATCAGAACACAAGCAATTTATTATTATAAATTATTTTGCAGAATAAAATAATGCATAATTTTACAGATTAAATGAGAACATTTAAGTCCTCTGAACACTTTGGCTGCACTCACATATTTTGAAATGGAACACTGGCAATTTAGAGAGGTGTCACTTTTGTGTGCATGCACTTCTGCACTGGCAAATGACCTGGGCAACCGACCCAACACAAAAGTGCATCTGCCAAATCGTTTCCTCATGTAAACAGTCAACCACTTGTACCACCACCAGGCATAGGAGCGGGAACTACAGATGGAGTCAGGGAAGCATGAGGTTCTTATTTTAAGCTGAAGTGGCTAAAAGCATTCATTAAAACGGTCTCAGACGACATTTTTCCACAAACTGCACTGCATCTATTAGGGGGGAAAACCTAATAAAAACTAATGAGGACACAGATTTAATGTATAATGTATATTAGCAAATGGAGTAAGGCCTAGAGTGAGTCTCATCTCGAGTGACATAAGAACCGAGGACCAACTGGATTTTTTTTCTCAAGTTCAATTACCTTGCACTAAAACCAGACCCACTTTACTACTGCAAACAGCACAGAACTTGAAAGCTTTGTGTGTGTTTTCTGTTAAGTCTCCAGCCATTGCTACCACTGATGCAGCTCCGTCACTGCAAGTAACACTGAAGAATGGTTGCAAACTTGACTGAAAAGCATGCTTTTAAATACAGTGCAGCAGAGGCAAGCGTGTCCAAAACCAAACAATCTCAGCAATTTTCTTGAACGTCCACAGCATCACATAAGCTTCAATAAATAATAACCTTTGACCAGCTTCATTTGCGTAAACCTTGCAATTTTATACTTGCACAAAGGAAGCAGTGATTTGGAAGCACTGAGAAAATGAAGGAACCAATTAATTCTTGGAAATTGTTATAAAACACATGACTGAAAAAATCAGCTGTAGGTCAGGTTACTGGAGAAAACAGAAGTCCAACAGAGAAGCATATTTTCCTTCAGTGTACTGATCAGCTACTTGTGATACTACACTTGGAAAAAGGAACTGGCAGGACAGACAAAAAGGTATGGCACCAAAATAAATACAAAGAATCACATTCTTCACAAAGAGATACAGAACGTGGTTTATTATCAGTTAATAGAGTAAGCTACAGAAAACCTGTAAGAAATGAGTGTGGGAAAACAATCAAGCTTCCCATTGGAAGCTATGGCAACAGACCCCGTAAATTCAATGAGAAGAGGACAAAGCTTACAAAAAAACAGAATATATGGAATATGTGCACACAGTCTGCAGAACACAGGCTTTACAAAAGTCAGTGACTGCTGTTGACTCTGATTAAGCCACACACTACCAGGCCAAAGGGTTCTTTCCCAAAAGCAACATGAAACAGCACACAAGCAAGAAGAAGGCTCAGCTTGCCCTGAAAGCAGCTCTCCCCAGCACTTACCCACTGCTTTAACGTGCAGCTGTAATCAAATCTGAATGCTACAGTATCACATACTCCATCACAAATGGAAAAAAATGCAGAGATTTAATAAAGTCCAATAAATATTTTAATAAATGTCCAAGGAAGCAACAGCATGGAAGACAGCTGAGAGTGGTAGCACTAAGTAGTTCATATCAATATTGTATCACATTTTAAATGACAGTTGCTACTAGTAGTTTGGAACTATATTTTTTCCCTTAAATCAGGGCCTTACATGCAAATATACAGAGAAGCAGCAAAACATCACCAAATTATTGTCAGACTTCTCCCTAGGATCTAAGCCCAGTGCCTAACTGCACCCATGGTTAGGTTTGGTTCTCACTCTTCCTTCGCCAGGGATCTAACACCAGGATAGTTACGTGCAGTGGCTATCACCTTCTTGGTCTGGGTAACAAAACAGGGAGTGCTGTTTCTGCAGGACACCACATATCCCCAGGTTCTTGCTCTTCCAAGCATGAGCAATGACTTACAGAGCCTAACCTGAATTTATCAACTTCCATCACTCTCAACTGGTACTATAACCATGTCCAGCTAACAGTTAACTGTTTTTATGTGGTTTTGAAATACTAAACATCTTCCTGTCATACATAATCTGAAAAAGCTCCACATCATAGCAATTGTAAAAGCAACCTTCATGTCTCTCTAGGCTGCGTATTTCTCAGAATCACAGAATGTTAGGAGTTGGAGGAGACCTCAAAAGCTCATCCAGTCCAATCCCTGCCAGAGCAGGATCACCAGACCAGGCAGCTTTTGAATGTCTGCAGAGAAGGAGACTCCACAACCTCTCTGGGCAGCCTGGACCATGCTCTGGCACCCTCACAGTAAATAAGTTTTTCCTTATGTTCACATGGAACCTCCTGTGCTCCAGCTTGGGACCATTGCCCCTTGTGCTATCATTGGACATCACAGAGCAGAGCCTGGCTCCTTCCTCCTGACACTCGCCCTTTACAAATTTATAAACATGAATGAGGTCTCCCCTCAGTCTCCTCTTCTCCAAGCTAAAGAGACCCAGCTCCCTCAGACGCTCCTCATAAGGGAGATGCTCCGCTCCACTCCCTCCATCATCTTTGTGGCTCTGTGCTGGACTCTTTCAAGCAGTTCCCTGTCCTTCTTGAAATGAGGGACCCAGAACTGGACACAATATTCCAGAGTGGTCTCACCAGGGCCTAAAGGTCAAGAATATATACTTAAAAATTACAATGCTTTTCAGTTGCCCACATTGCAAACACTAATGATTTGTTCTTACTGCATATTTCTTAAGAATTTAACTTATTTTAGCTAAAGCTTTCTACCATCCACATAAGAACTCTAATCTGTAAACAACTTACACCTGAGCTAGTTACCTGCTGTCCACCTTAACTTGAACCCGCTTTGCAGGCAGGACTCAGACTAATTCACTCAGCTGCTAATTGTTCTCTGTTGCCCTTCACAAAACAGGTTTTCCCCTCCACCTGCTCCAGGGACAGGTTAAGTCTCCTGGGACTGACCAGGAACTTGAGAACCATTAGAGCAAGAGCCAGTGGAGATGCTCCACACCCCCATGTCAGCACTAGCCACGAAGAGCAGTCAGTAACCTAAACAGAGCCCCCCTATGGCACGGTCAGATCTGAGCAGATCCGAGAGGCTCAGAGCTTGTGGTCCATTCCCAGGCCTAGTTGCACAGTTTGGATGTCAACAAATAGCAACTGGCCTTCTCTTAGGTTTTCTCAGTGAAAGATGTGATCTAACTGCACAATAAACGCACAAACTAAAGTCTTTGTGTCAGCACTAATAACGCCTAAGCAGCTATAAAAAAAAACCAAAACAAAACCAAACAGATGAACTTGGCAGATTAGGAAAATACAAAAACCCAAAAGCACATCAATAGCCTGCCAAAAGCCACAGAAGCACAAGCAGCGGAGCGTTGATCAACCTGGCTGCCAGGTCTCTTGCAGGCACTCCCTGAGTTTCAAACGCAGCACCTGATGGAACAGAGGCTGGGCTCCCGGAGCTGGAATTAAAGGCGTGTACTGCACTGCTGTCAGCTGTTATTACTCATGTGCTTGCTGTTTTAGGCTCAAAATCAGATCTGCTTTGCACTGACAAGAATAATATTTATGAGTCACAGGCTGACCCTGTGAGCTAGGAACCTACTGTTTCCGAGCTGCACCACTTGAGGAGCGTGTATCCAGTCACCACCTGCCCACAGACTGCGCAGCACCGTCCTCTCCACCTCAACAGCTTCGTTATCTTCAGCATCAAAACAATCCGAACCTAAAAACTTAATTCTGCTCTCACTTCATGCATCTCCCTTAACACCCACTCGTTAACAGATTAAGACAATTGCTGCATTACTACCAAGAGAGGAGATGTAATAGAATTTCTATGCACTAAATACCATCTATGCTTTCTATGCTACTTTTGGTATGATTTAAAGGGTATTATTGCTTTATTTGGAATGAATAATAAATACCGAGGAGACAGAACTTTTTTTTTATTGCTGCCATCTACCTTGTGTTACGAGAGCAACTGCTGGTTTTTTATTTTTGCCTTTATTATTGTTGACATATTTTTATATTATCCTAAGCAACACGCATTTGATGTGGCTATAAAAAGACTGAGTCATGCTGTGTCACAACAGGGTTTTCTTTTAACTGGAAAGAAAGCAAATATTTTTGTAATTCAAGCAGTTTAAAAATAGTATGTTTAAAAATAAAGTACTAAAAACATGGGATCAGATGAGACTGTATATTCAGCCTCTGAGAAAGAGCCTCGTTTCTCTCTCTTCATCAAAATTCTGTCTAATCTACAACAACCCACATGCCATAATCATTCTTCATTCCCACAAAGGGGAAAATTGTCATCCTGAATCTCTGACAGCTTTTTTCAGTAGCAAACATCAATCCTCCATCACAGTGCAAAAGAGATTCTCAGACTCCATGAGGGAGTAAGAGTGTCAACTGCTCACAAGCCTGACCCTTTTCTTTCCCTTTCCAGCTATGACACAGTACTATTGCATGAAATCCTTGTCGTTTTGGAGGCACGTATCTGTCTACTTAGATTAGTAATATTAATACAATACTAAATGATACACAGCTATCATCTTAACCAAAGATGTCACAAAACTGAAAAACCTGCACACTATTTACTCTACACCTGACATCAGTGCTTCTAGCAATGGAGACATATCACCAGTCTCATACATGCATCATTTGTACCAGTTTTTCCATCTAACGAGAGAAGAGAAGAAATCAACACACACAGCTTTTTTGCAATGAAATAATCCATGAAAACAGCAAACTTTTATAATCCACTTACAGGAATCCTTCACAGATTTCTAGAAAGTGAAAGAGTCTGCTGTTCTCAGTAAAGAATCTTGCAGAAATATGTAATGTGAATTTGATCTTTGACTGGGATAATAAAAATTGAGGAGCCATAGTAGACAAAAGTGCTCCTAAGTAGGTCTTGTATATCTAATGTTAGAAAAAACAGAGATACTAGCAGCAATAATGTGACCATATTTCAGAAAGGAAATTAAAGGAAGACAGCAGAAACAGCTAGATGGACAAAGATAAAAGGCAAACTATTTAAATTTAACATGAGGGAAATACAAAGGGAGACAAAAACCAGTGCTTTAAGATTTGAGGAAATAGCAAAGCATCTAAGCAGCAGGACAGACATTTTATGCAGAGAACTAAAAATACCAAAAATGTATTAAGGAATGGAAACTACCAGCAGGTTAATAACCAAAAAACCACAGCTTGGGAAATAAAACACTGAAAAAAAAATTTCTGTGGGGAAAAGTAGTCAATTCCCAGAGTTTTCTCTTGGACAGGGGTGGATTCAGCCCAGCTGACCAGGAGTGAGTCCAGAGCTGGTTACAGGCTGCAGGAGATCCCCATTGCCCAAACACTTGCTCCCACCAGGTCCTATGGCGGGGGTTCCCCCTCCCCCCAGGGGGGGCTTTTCTCTTGGACAGGGGTGGATTCAGCCCAGCTGACCAGAAGGAATGAGTCCAGAGCTGGTTACAGGCTGCAGGAGATCCCCATTGCCCAAACACTTGCTCCCACCAGGTCCTATGGCGGTGATACCCTCTCCAGCAGGGGTTGGCCCCAGGGCAGCTCCCCACCATCACCAGCCATGGCTCCACCTCCCTGCGGCTGGGGCCAGGATGAAGGGAAGAGACCGACACCAGAGCCTGCTCACCTGCACAGCCAAGCACGCTTGTAACATGACACAAGCTGTGGGAATGTGAGACGTCTGCAGGGCATACACACCGTGCTCATTTTCAGGAGTCAGGAAAGACATCAGCGTTCTTGTAAGATAAGTAACAGAACATTACCAAGACAAAAGTTACTTCAGTGTTTGATTGTGAGGATCGTGTATTGCATCAGTATTAATTTCCACTAATATTTTTCAAAGGTTATTTCTAAAAAGGCACAGCTATTTCACAGAACAAAATAAGGATGGGAATGAGCTTAAGAGCAGATCATGCTAACATGCTTAAATTTTTGACACAACTTAGAGAGACAGTGGGCAGATACCAGTTAATGAACAGCAAATTCATATTTGCTTACCCCACTGCTTTTTTGGGTGGCTGTGGCCTAATATTCCAAGAAATCATTTTCTCAAGGAAATACAATTCTGATAACTACTTAATACGGTTGACTTGCTCTTAGATACCAACTGCCTTACTTGACTTACTGAGCAGCGTTCAGAGCTGTTCTAAGTTTGACTTGTTCCTTGTGGCCTGAGTAGCAAAATTTCCTGTGACTGTGGTGGATTAAGGATAGGCCTTGCAACAGCAAAATTTAGTCAATGACTATTTAAACATGTATATATGTGTGTATATATATACACACACACACACAAGCCCCCTATTCCAATCATTTCACTGACATCCATGAAGTGTACAGCATCCAAGTGTTAGTGTATACCAAGGCATAATGGGGATGAACAAATGATTGATTGGCAAATGGTTGAATCACCACCTTAGATGTATTTAAAACCCATCTAGATATGGTGCTTAGAAAGATGGTTTAGAAGTGAGCATGGTAGAGTTAGTTAACAACTAACCACAAGTCCTTTATCTGCTCTCATGAGACTTATTCTCCAGAGACCTCACCAGGAAGGTGATGCTGTCAGTCCAGTGGGATTTCAAAGGTACTGCGTATTTTGCATTGCTTCCAAGGAACCAGACCATTAATTCAGGCATCTACTGTCATCAATGCAATAAATTAAGTGATGCCATCAAACAGAAGCATCCAGAATTAGTAAATTACAAAGATGCTCTGCTTCACCATGATAACGCTAGACCACACACAAGCTTGGTCACTCATCAAAAACTGCTGCAGCTTGGACAAAATGCACTAACTCATCCGCAGTATTTGCCAGACCTGGTGCCATCAGACTGCCATTTGTTTCATTCTTTACAAAATGCTTTGAATGGTAAAACCTTCACTGCTGATGAGGATGTCAAATCGTTCTTGGAACTGTTTCTTTGCTGAAAAAGGTAAGAGCTTTTTTGAGCTCCAAATCATGAAGCTGCCTGAAAGACAGCAAAAAGGAATTGAACAAAATGGACACTATGTTGTTTAATACAGCCTTTATTTCCCATGAAAAACTCACCTTTCCTTTACTGAGGAAAAACCACAAAATTACTTTTTGGCCAACCCAATATAACCTTTCACTGCTCAGATGGCAAAACTAAGACTGGAATGGGCACTGGAATGGTCATTGGTTTCAGATTTACCTATTTTTGAGATATCTGCTTGGACTTGGACCTGCCCTCCTGTATGCATAGTCTTCTTTCAACTGGGCTAAGCCTGGCAGTATAAGATAATCGCTGCTGTGTTGTACCAGGGTGGTGCCCCATGATAAGAAGTCCATTCACAAGAGTCCTGCTTGCAAGAATTTCAAGGTATTCTGTTATGTTTAGCTGGGATTTTCCAAAATAGGTGGCTTCAAGAATATCTACTTTCATGTTGGATTAAAGACTTGCAGAATCTGTCCTTGGACTGTATTCAGATGTAGAGCTCAGGTGACCTGGTTTCAATACAGGTAACTCTACTGGGGGGGACTCCCTGAACACAGCCAGCCCTAGGAACAACAGTCCTGTGGTGCTGGTCAGCTGCAGCACTGGGAGATGGGGATACACAGTGAAGAGCTGAAAAGCTTTTATTGCTTACCCAAGGAGAAGCAGGAGTGCTCCCCCACACCAATATCCCAATTTAACACATGAACTGTCAACTCCTCTCACTGGTGACAGTGACTGGAGGAGCTTGTTTAGGGGGTCAGGAAGAGCTCCACAGCGGGGGAGGTTCCAATGTTAAAATTGCTTGTTATGTTTATTTTAATTTTACAGGATGCTGAGTGAACAGAGTAAAAGCTCCAGGACTACAGCAGCTCCCTGTTAACCTCAGCAGTATTGACTCAGAGCAACAGGGGAAAGGCTCAGGGACTGGCAGTCACTCACCTACAGTGGAGCTGACACCTGACTGCTAGGACACATGTGACTCAACCCACAGATTCCTCTTCAGTAGCTTTCATGGTTTGCTACTCATGCAAGAAATCAGATTTGACTTCAGACAGTGTGGTAAACAGACTATATGATACATTGATTAAACCTTTATTTTAACTCTTGTAAAAGATCCAACCTTAATTGTTTATTTCAGTGCACACAGATACAAATGCATCTTTGTTTAATTATTACATAAATACAGACAAGAATTCCCCTGAGCATTTCACCTCAGGAATTAGCCATACATCTTTCCAGAGGATCAAATCTGCCAATTCACATCAACTGTCAAATTGTGGCTATTAATCAAAAGCAACAGAAAGCAAAATCTTGGGAAAAGATCATGCTTAACAAATCTGATTGCTTTCTATGCCAGAGTGACCTGCTCGGTTGCTGTGGGGCGAGCAGTGGACTATATCAACTTGGAATTCTCCAAGGCTTTTGACACGGTTCCCCACAGCTGCCTCCTTGAAAAACTGACAAACCACAATGTAGATAAGGTATCCCTCAGGAATCAACATTGGGCCCAACACTATTTGATAACTTCATTAGATCTGGATGTTGGGATCAGGAGCTCCCTGATGAAGTTTGCTGATGACAACATGATGAGTGGGGTAGTTGACACTCCAGAAGGGAGAGCCAGCCTCCAGGAAGACCTGGACAGACTGGACAAGTGGGCCAGCAGGAACTGGATGAAGTTCAACATGGACATCTGGGAATGCATAATCCAAGAATGCAGC